CCCCCCCCCCCCTCCCCTCCCTTCTATACTCTCTGCAATATATCTCCTTCCCGAGCATTTTCCATACCCCGCGCATCCGCGGCAAAACTAACACGCCCCCTATTGGTGGCGGGTTTTTCGCTTGCTTTTCTTGATTTTACTTTTTTTTCTTGCTTATGCTTTTTTCTTCCTTCCACTTTCTTTCTTGCTTGTACTTTTTTCTTGCTTTGCTGTTTTCAAGCCATCATCCCCCTCCTCCCTTTCTCACATTGCCTAGGCAACAGCCAAAGGATCCACGTCGCGTAGCCATTCAATGTACCCACCCAACCCTCTCCCCTGCCTCGAATTCCTGCGCGAAACTCACACACACCGTCCCCCCTCCCCTCATCTTCATCACAATCTCCTCCCCACGTTTCAAACCCAGTGACCAAAAGTGTGTTTAGGCATTGCCAATCCTCTCCCTCCCCCCGTCCAGCCGCCCTTCTATGCCCTCTACTGTGTACATCCCTCCTAAACCCTTTCCCTACCCTGCGCATCCGCGAAAAATCCAGCAGTACAGATCCTGCTTCCTCCCGCTCATCACCCCCTCTCCCCTCTCCCCTACGTGGTCACTCGACCTTCCCACCCAGCTACCCCCTCTCCCGTGCCTTCGAGCCCGAGGCTACCACCCTAGCAGAATAGCCTCCCCTCCCCCTCCCCCCAACCCTCCCTCCCCTCACCTTTCTGGCCCCGTCCCCTTTTATCGAATCGACTAGTCTCAGCTTGCCTTGGCTTCACCTCGGCTGCTGCACGAAAACGCATACTGTCAGCCAGCAAAAGCGCGTATTGTCGAGAGGCTGTATGTATGTGTATGTGTTTGCGTGTGTGTGTGTGTGTGCGGAAGCGAATGCATTTTGTCATCCACTTTCAACTTGGGAACCAAGAAAGTTGGGAGGCTGAAATTTTCGGGGAATGTCCCCAGCACGATTACAACTTAAAACTATCAAACTCAGCTCTTCACTGTGTGTGGTATTTACGTACGACCCCGTGAAAATTTCCGACGCGAAAATGGCTTGCGCGGGAATCGGGAAAGTTGGGAGGCTGAAACTTTCAAGGAATGTTCATAAACATGTACAGTTCAAATTTATCAAATTCAGCTCCCGGGCAAGCATGTTTTTCAAATACGGCCCCGTGAAAGTTTTTGGCGCAGAAATGGATAACTCGAGAAGCAGGAAAGCTAGAAGGCTGAAATTTTCAGAGAATGTTTCAAACAGAAGTTAAACTTATAATTAATAAATTCAGCTCCTCAGTTTGAGTGGTTATCACGTACGGCCTCGTGGAAGTTTTCGGCGGAAAAATCGCTAACTCGGTGACCAGGAAAGTTGGAAGGCTGGCATCTTCAGAGAATACTTCCAACACGTTCAACTTAAATTTATCAAATTCAGCTCCTGAGCACGCATGTTTTTCACGTGCGATCGCGTGAAAAGTTTTCGGCTTGAAAATCGCTAACTCGGAAGCCAGGAAAGCTGAAAAGCTGAAATTTTCAGAGAATGTTCCTAGCACAGGTTTAACTTACAGTATCAAACTCAGCCCTTCAGTGAGTGTGGTACTCACGTATTGCCCTATGAGAATTTTTGGCGCGAAAATAGCTAAGTTGGGAGCCAAAAATTTTCAGAGAATGTCCCCAGCCCACGTACTACTTAGATTTACCAAACTCAATCCTCGGGCGCGCGTAGTGTCACGTACGGTCCTGTGAAAATTTTTGGCAGGAAAATTACTAAAACCAGAAAATTTGGAAAGCTGAAATTTCAGCGAAATGTTTCCTGTTCAAATTTCCCTGATTTCGAGGGCCAATATATCACACATTTCTAGCTACTAGGTTCCGAGCAAGCTCATTACAGCACGAAATATGGCAAAAACGTATGATCGCATGGGCTCGCTCGGTGCACGTCGCCAGTGATTTTATATCTTGCTGATGCATAATGTATTTCATTTTACTACTCGTTCGCGCTTAACTGTCTTTTTGCATCCGTTCGATTTTTTGTCATTTGTTGATAAAGGTTATATTACCCAAGTATGAGGGTATAAGGAAGATGCGAGCCCGCGAACTGAGCTCAGAGAATCGTAAGAGCCGGCGCACTGTGCTCGCCAAACGAAGTGAGAACGAGCCCACGAGCAGCATTTGCCAACCAATCAAAGGAGGACCGACGTATTCCGCCCTGTTGAAGAACTTGGACTACTAATGTTACTGCAGACCATCCTGCCAGCCTAGAACTATATTTATTTAGTATAAATTCATTGGAGTGGACAGTTATTGGCAAGAAATTACCATCATCCACGACAAATTCTTGGTGTATCCCTCCGCAGCCACACAATCAGATTTTTCGTCAGATGAGCGGCATTCAAGGCATCATTGAGAAAGTGATATCCGATGGGAGGGCATGCTGATCGTGTTTCTGACAAACTGCGAACGGCGCGCATTAGAGAACGGTAAATACGAGAAAGTGAACAACCACTCGGGTAGTAGTCGAAGGTGGCATACACACACCGAACAAACAGTGGACACTAAATGGGGGTATTCAGTCAGGTTCGAAAGACGTGGCACAGCCGCGCTCGGCGGTTGGGGGCATCCCCATAAAGTCACGAACAAGTGATATCCAAACTGGTAGTCTGAGCGGTTTTAGTATTCGTAGTAAATCATATGTGCTTTTCCGTTCGTCCATAATACCACAGTATTACTGCTGTATCTTTCGCGTTTACATATATTTTTAAGGAACAAATTTTAAGCTGTACGGAAAAAAGCCATGTTGGGTACATTGATACCACTGCTTTACGCGTGTATCTTTCTTGGGCTGGTGGGCGTAATTAGCAACTGCTTATCCTGTTATGCACTGTCACGAAGTCACACATTATTGCAACGCTACTGTGTCATCATTGCACAGGTTAGTGGCATTTTCATAATGAATTCATATAAATCTCAGCACCGAGGATTCCTCGTGCCTCCTCTAGAAAACTGTTAATCACAAATTCATCATTTTAAATAATGCATTTTGCCGATGATTCTTTCGCCAGAGCCTCAGCTGGAAAGCTCGGAAGTTCAGAGAGAAAGGGCACTCATCGAATTTTTTCACGATAAGTTTTAGATGAGCTACAACTCTGAATATGATTGCTCGATAAAACAGCATTAGCATTTGAACAATGGTAATTCGTGACTATAAATGTGCTAGGGTCTCCTTTTTGTGTTGCATACCTCTCGATTGCTATCACTTCATAGGTTCCTCAATTATTCGTCTTTTTCCTCCTGGTTATTATGCAAAATTTTAAATGACTGGTGAAGTAAGTATAAAAGGCATGGTTTTAAGAGAAGAATTTGAGGCATGTCTTGCTTAACAAAAGGATGATTGCTTTATCCAGCAAAAAATATCTTTCTTATTTGTTAATGTGCTAAAATTTTACACATTTGAACGCACACGAATACTAAGACTGCTCAGAAAAAAGATGCGGACAGTCATACAAGTAATGCTGCGCTGCTTCCTCAGAGCTGTGCCAGGCCCTTCGAACCCAATCCACATACTTAAATCTACATTAATATTCGCAAACAGATACATTTATTCGAACGGCTTCGGGTGAGAACGATCACCCTGGAGCATATGCTTAAGGGGGGAAATGTAATTAAAGGAAAGTGTCCAGAAAATAAGTAGATATTTCTACTAAGTTTGGCGTGTGTACCTGGCAGCTACCTTCCACTTCTTCCCTCTGATTTTGTTATGGCAGCTTTCTAGTAACATCATTAGCATGGAATATCGGAGTGGTATTGGTATTCATGGTGCCAAATTCAGTGCTCTCTGCAGCAGTGTCTGGACGGTACGAAAAATTTAAGTGCTGAAACTGCAGATGGTTGCAAATGGGTTAACAGGAGCTGCTCTTGTAATTGCCGGAGTTGGTCGTCTGGCAATGTTCTACAGCAATTACAGTGAACGGGCGAGCCGCCGGAAATGCATGCTTATGCCTTGGAATATTCTCTTTTCATGGTGTGTTCTTTTCCTTTTTCTTGATTTTTATTGTTTATAGGATCTTAGTTGGGCCAGGATTCAAAACCAATTTTGAAGCTCAAAAAAGCTTTAATTCCAGCTCCTGAAATAACAAAACTAGTCAAATGAGATTTCACAGGCATGAAAAACAAATAACCGCTCAAAAAATCGAGAAGCGTTTTCCCTGCTGGTAAATTTTTTCGAATTTTCCCACATTCCGGGTGTAGATACGGAGTCCTTTAATTCTAGCTTGCACATTTCTAATTATTATTCACTGCCTGCTCGAATATGGGTCACCTCTGCAGGGCTTGCCGGAATGGCCATTTACTTCCTTTTGAACATAACTTACAGTTATGCAACACTTGCTGCAGTTGGTCGAACAACGTGCTTTGCACAATGAGGTCTAGCTTCTCGCGCAGCTGCAGTGACTATATCTTTCTCGTCTGATGGGCTATCTAGCTGTTCACGTGTTTTCACACACTTATGCTAATGCAAAAGTGCATATTGTCATGAGGTTTTCTATGCGTATATATTATGAAGCGAGCGAACTTTCTTGCCCATTTCCAACGTAGTAATCAGAGAAATTAAGAAGCTGAAAATTTAGGTGCATGTTCCTAGCCTATATGCGACCTCCCTCACCTTCAACATTCACAGGCGTCCGGGTTTCACTTATGAAGAGCTCGAAGAAGTTGTGAAAGTTTCTGACGGGAATTGGTTTCGAGGGCCAATCAACGTAAGAAGTTAAAACTTTGCAGAGATGTTTCATGGCCATGTGAAACACCAATTAGGCTTCGTTCTGTTACGACGTTGTGGAATAATTCATAAAACAATAAGTTTTGATGTCTTTGCAGGGCAGAACCAATGCAAGCAGTATCATTATTTATGGTCAGTCTTGATCGCTTGATTGCTTTGTCTTTTCCGCTGGCGTACTTCAAGAAAAACGGTTTCATTGAAATTACTGAGTGCATTTTGCCGGTTTAACAGAGGTAAATCAGCAAGTTGTAAGAAGACCAAATTTTTTAAGATATCGACCTGCCTGTTAAAATATCACCCCATTCATACTACCTCCAAAGGCGTCGTCCTCTCACACCAAGAGCACGAACACTGTCCGGGTCACTAGTAGTGAGAGGTATCCCGTGTTAGCGATGTTGCTGGAATACTCTCATATATAATGACGTACGAATATGCTTTTGACTTTGATTATGAAAATGTGCGTAAATTGATAAAAAATAGAATTTTAAAAAGTCTTAATGCTTTATGAATTTTTTTGATTACAGATTTGCTTCTGGACCGGATCTGTAACGTTGCTGGTAATGGTCAGTTGGTATTTTTCCTGGCAGGACACTAAACCCATCTTCGATCCCTTTTGCTGGTAACCTATAACATACGTTTTTTCTGGAAAAATCCACACTTTAATGAAAAATAGCGGGGGTTGTCAGTAGGTACCATGTGCATTTGAAATCATTTCCTAGAGTGACAATAAAAATATTCAAAAGTACTCAGATCACTGAACGTCTTTTGTAGAGATGTGCTTTAAGTAGCTGTTATGCATTTCGCAGCTGTTCCGCGGAAAATAAGATAATTAGTGTTCGTTTATCTTTTTATGCGTT